CCATTATCGTGGTGTGCTTCTGCGACTCCCAGAGCTATATGGATTGCCCGAGGAGTATGCACGGCAGATGTGTCAGACTGCCGAGGTCTTCACAAGGTTGGGAGTGACCAATGTCACAGGCACCACTCTGGTGAGGTCGTGTGCGCGGTATGATAACTTCCACTGCCTCAACACGGAAGAGAACCGCTCCTTCTTTGTGAAGTACTACGCCAACGTGGCCCTCTTTGCCTATCACTACTGGGTCCTGTCAGGAGTGGACGTCCTCAGGAAAGATGCAAACTTGTTTGCAAAGCCCACGGGTGAGAAGACCCACCGCCAGCGCATGCTGGAGCACGTGTGGAAGAAGTCTTCCTGGGTGATTGGCACGACGGCGGGATTCCTGGTGAGAAGCGACAGACTGCCATTGACCAAAAGAATGGGTGGAAGCTCGCCGTGACTGAAACCGAAGAGATCGGCTTCATGGACGCGTGGGGCGAACCCATCTACGCCACCGAAGAGGAGATCGCTGCGGCAAAGCTTTTGCCATTCCGAAGGTCAGGATGTTCAGATCGTGCCGGACTCGTCCGCGGCTGATCAGCCCATGCCGGATGCAGTTGTGCCAGAGGTCATTGAGATCGATGACACATTTGCACCCAGTGCTGACTCGCCTCCGGGGACGGATGGCCGAGATGCAAACAATCAGGCCCCAGTCACAACTCCGGGCATGGAGTTCGTCTCTGTCACCGTTGAGATGCCGAGGTGGATCCTGTACCCATCACGGAAGAAGAGGAACTCATTGTCTCCAACGACCCCATCGAGGATGAGAAGTATGTCAACGAGCTTCTCAAGGATCATCTCAAATCCACCATTAAGCAAGGCTATGAAAACAAGCCAGCTGAAGACTCCGACGGGGAGATTCTGTTCAAAGAGCCGATACTCACATCTATGCATGCTGAGTCTTGCCAGGTTGCCGGTGTGACCTATCAGCTGAGGCAGAAGGATGATGAGAGCGACCTCATTCGCATCTACATGGCCGAAGAGGACATCCCTCAGCTCACTGGCGAAGCACTCAGGAAGTTTCGTGAGGTTACCACCTTGGGGAATGAACCTGACCTGGCAAACAAGGCTCCGCAACAGAAGATCCCAAAGGCGAAGGCACCGGGAAAGCCACCGGCACCCAAGCTGCCAGACGCAGCAGTTGAGAAGACGCCGAAGTCTGGTGCGCCCGAGCCGACGCACGCCCGGCGGGAGCTGAGGCCGATGTTGAGATGAAGTCAACTGAAGCGACTCAGCCCAAAGTACCGAAACGCCCGGCGGGAGCTGTGGCCTTGGATACAACACCAACAGCAAAGCCGGCCGTCCAGGCCAAGGCAATGCCTCGTGCGCCTCCGGTGCCATCAGTACCTTCGCCACTAGGAGAGAACGAAACAGTGGCACTGCAATCGAGATCGGTTCCTGGCGCCCCCAACTTGCCACAGTTGAACTCGAAGCAGGTCTGGATCTCTCGACGTGTTTCCGGTCTCCTTCGTGGATGGGAACACAGCAGGCAGACCTGGCACAAGGTGCAACCGCCCAGCTTCGAAAAGGGCCTGTGGATGGACTATGGAAAGGTTTACAGCTTCATCAAACGAAAGTACGATGTGAACCTGACCCTTCGAGTCATTACGTCCAATCACCGGTTCATGCTTGAGGTGAAGATTGCACCAAAGGGGACTTTGGTCGGCGGGAAGTACCAGTATACTCCACTCAGAATCAAAGCGATCCAAAACCACAATGAGTGGTCAAATAACAATGTCCAAGATGCTCTACCTGAACATGAACGCTTTGTTACCCTTGATGAGGAGTACACTTCTGCTGAATACCTTGCCGGCAAGTTTCCGAGGGTTCCTCGTGGTGCGTTGGGGAAAGTGACAGAAGTGGCTCCGACCATCCTGTATCACTATACCCATCGAGCAGCCTTTCTCGACATTGTCAATATGGGCCTCATTCTTGGTGGCAATCGCACTGGTGCCCGATTCACATTCCTCACCAAAGAGGACCCCTGGACTATCTCTGGAACTGACTATGCCGCTATGATCCAGTTGATGGCGCTGAACGGACACCGACTGATTCAAACCACAGCAGGAACAATTCTGTGTCCAGATTGGATTGCGAACAGAAACGTGATCTATGCACGACATGGAAGCCAAGTGTTATGCCTTTGCCAACCATGTGTATGCCCATTACCAAACCAAGGCATTCCATGCTGCGCGCACTGGGGACCAGATGCCGATGATGATGACATGGTGAAGAGTCCATTCGAGAAGTACACCACTCATGTTCTTGGAGACTATGAGAGGTGGTGTGGCAAAGTGGGCACCTATTCACCGTTCGTGTACGGCGAATTGTCTCAGCTCAGTGACGTGAAAGACCAAATGATCTCAGGGAAGAACAACCCCGATCTGGAGGTCTATGAGGTCACCTATGTTGTTCGCAGGCCCAACTTCAACGCCTACAAGAACAAGGTGTCGCCTGAAGAGATGCTGCCCAACTACAACCGTCCTCGGTTTGATTGGCGCAAGTTTCATCCGGAAACTGAAGGTTATGGCAACACCCGCTGGATGGTCGTTGAAGGGATTCAGATGCCTGAAGGCCAGTGCCCAACTTGCACACAGACGTACACTCATGGCACGATGTCCTGCACCACTTGCGGTACCTTCCTCAACAATGCATCCGATCTGTGTAAAGCAGCTCAGCTCATCCGGATCGAGGAGATTGCAACGGACCTTGGAGTTGAAGTCACTATGGACATGGTCCCTGATGACAGGCTGCAAGGATCTGGATTGAGGAAGACGCCGGCGGGGACGTTGGCATCAACATCTTGAAGGCGAATGCCAAGAGCCATGTCCAGAAGGCGAAGAAGATGTGCCTGACGGTTTCGCAACGGCAGCTTGTTGATGCTTTTTATGCGTTCAACTGTGCAGCTCAGGACTTATCGCCCATTTGCATCCAGTTCCTGGAGCGCCTCTCCGACGCCGTCATCCCCGATCCTCCAAGGACGCGTGAGATGATCGCTCAGGGAATCGGCCACAGGTACTCCGGCAAGATCATCTTTATGAATGAGATTGCCAAGGGCGGTGATGCCGACGGACTTCTTTGTTTATTGGAAGAATCGCCTCCATCGGCCAGAGACCTTCGCTGCAGATTACTGCCAAGGACCGAAACGCCCTGCCATCCTTGGGTTTGGTGGGGAATGGCGCTGCGAGAAAGATGACCCAGACGATGTCCTCGATGAACTTCTTGTGTTCGTGGCGGAAGATGCCCAGTTCATTCCCGGCCTCAACATCAATCTTGTCAAGGAGACCAGAGCGCTCGTCATCCCAAAGGCCAAAGCTGAGAGTTTGGCAAGAGCGACGCGGTCTCAGGCCGAGAGTGCTGAGCATCGTTGGCGGGGAGCTGCATGGAGTGACACTTCACAAGACTGGCAGCAATCTTCGTCGTCCTCCTGGTGGTCATCCTCGCGAGACTGGGGCAGGATGATCGTGGTCGCGGCAGCGATTGGCGGGGAAACGACTGGTGGAGTCAGCGCAGGTGGTAGACACATCGCACGGCGGGAGCCGTTGCCTGTGAAGAAGAGAATGAAATTCACGGGTGACACGGCTGTCGTTGAGCACTGTGCGTTCCCTCATCGCACCGGGGGACCGGTTGCCTGAAACCAGCAGCTAATTCGTTTGAGTTTAAAGTCGAAGTACTTGGCTCCAAATCCTTGCATCCAGATGCGCACATTCTTTTGTTGTGCATTGTCGCCACGCGGGAGCGTGTGCCTTGATGGCTTAGTTCCTGCTTTCTAAAAGGTTGGCATTGCACTTCCAGTTCCGCTGCGCCGAAAAGAGTCCATTATAACACTGTGCATTGAGCTTGACTGCATGCATCATTTCCAGACATGTTCAACACTAGCATCAAAACATGACAGTGCTTTGTTTGATTCGTCCTTGAGGTCAAAATCCTCTCCATCTCAAGGCGCGATCCGGTTCGATGCGTTGCACGTACCGGGGGACCGGATACCTTTGTAGGTCCTTTAATTCATGCACTGTACATAACTTCACTCCTCCCATTTTCGTTCATCGGGGGGTGTTGTTTCACGCTAGTGTGTGCAATACATGTCTTACTTACCCTATGTTTGGCTCAAGGAAAACAGGTGCGGTTTGTTGACTCGTGTCGGCCGTTCGCCTGTAACTACAGTCCGCCTCCAAGCAGACCTGAAAATTGCATTTGATATCATTAATGCATTTTTCAGACATGGACGCAAATGAGAATAGTAAAAGTTTATTGAACGAATGCTCCAAGACACTCCCAGAAGTCGTCCTCATATTCAAACTGGGCTGTGTGGTTCAGTAGGTGGCACAGCCATGAGCACAGGGACACGTAAGGCGAGAAAAGGTAAGCAAAAAGGATGGCTGCAGCTTTACAGTTTGCAAACTGCATAGACCGGTATCTTCAGAGTTGCTGAGAACAAATCAAGGGATCTGTGTAGTTGGGGTATTCCTCCATATTGGCTGAGGCCAGTTCACGGGGTCTGTGCAGTCTTGTGATTTTTTGTATTTAAATTGGCATAGAAAACCAAAGTACCGAAGTACCAAAACTGCAGGCCCCATGACCTGGAAAACCAAAGTAGCAAAGTACCAAAACTGCAGACCCCATGACCTGGAAAACTAAAGTGCCAAAGTACCAAAGATCCAAGCTGCACAGACCTATGTCCCCAGAGGGGCTATGGTCAGGTCATGGGGTCTGCAGTTTTGGAACTTTGGTACGTTGGTGCCCCCTAGAGGGGGACCAAAGTACCAAAACTGCACAGGCCTAGGGGTCATGGTGTCTGCAGTTTGGGAACCGCCATTTGTTATTGTTTTTTGACTTAGGAAATACTTTATTTACTATAAGAAATTGTTCTTTACATAAAAGGGTGGGTTTTGGGGGGGTACCGCTAAGCTTCCCACACTCCATCAAACCTGGGAGAGTCTCTGACTGCACACCCTACGTGTGAGGAATGAATCCACCCACCATGTACTACAGCCGTGGTGTTGGAGGAGGACATTCCCGATTCATCTTGACTCCCATTTCCCTGTTCTTTTGAACTCAAATCAAGCCGTGCGCACGTGAGAGCAAGCGGAGCTGCACCTTTGCTTGAACCAGGAATGTCATCCCCCTGCTCATTGCAGCAGGGGTGGCATTGGCGAAGGAAGGACTCCTTGGGCCTTCTGAGATCAGACCGGCGTAGATTCTTAGACTGTGAGTTGCTTCGTCAGCTGCACCAAAGAGTATGCAGGTCCTTGTCATGCACTTCTGTGGATTCAACATCCCATGCTGAAATGAAATGCACAATGACATGTTGACTAGAAGCTTCGAGGGCTAGTGACACATGACAAGTCCAGAGAGAACCTTGGCCAGGAATGTTTAACTCATACCATTTCTCTTCTGGCACGAGATGCTCAAACAGTATCAACTGCAGACCTCCAATTTCCTGACGCAAGTCCTCAAACAGTTTGAACGTTTAACCAAACAGACACAGCACAGGTGCTTGTTTACTTATTTAACAACGGCTCTTGGACTCTTCCACGAGCGGGATATTTACCATGTGTGTGTAAACTGTAAACAGTGGGATATCACAGCTTTTGCCTTGTGATGAAGCCTTCGCACTGTGTTGGCCAGGAATGTTTGTGTTGTGCTCGACCAGCTAGCCACACATCAGGCCGGCATTGTTTGTTATTGCCATTGCATTCCCTCTTCGCAGTTCGCAATCAGTCGGGCACAGAACCATGAAAGAACGCTCCCTCTTCCAGAGATCAAAAACATGCTGAGCTGAAAAAACGGAAACTGATCTTGGAACTCCAAGAGCTTGCCAGGCAACGGCAGCTGTATAGCAGTCTAACCATCACCAAACGCTAAGCCCAAGTCCCAATCTCAAGTTGGACAACCCACTGCTTCACAAATCTCATGGCAAATCATGGCTGTGGTCTTCAAGCTTCGCAAGGCTCCACACCCAGGGAACCAATCCTGCACCAGTAGGTGGAGATATGACTCTGTCACTGCATACAGTACTTTTGTTTTTGATGATTCGCAAAGTGTGGGAGGCTGTTGGGTTATTGGAATCGAGCGCTGACATTCCACCGGACTCTTCTCTATGCGACCTTGAAGTTGTTTCATTCTTGGTTGGAGGATGCATTGTATGAACAAGCGATAGATAGCGAAAGCCACCTGCCCAAGCCGGCTTGCGCACTTTTCACAACTCTATTTCACGTGTTTGAACAAGCTGGCACTTCATTGTTGCCATGGCACAGTGTTTTCACAAATGTTTTCGGTTTGACTCCTCGGTGCGTTCAGCGTAGCAGCATGTTTTACTCTATGGAAGAGTCCGCGCAATCTGATTGGAAAAATGCAGCTAACCCATCGCGCACGATCTCCTGGTACCTTGTCGGTATGTGAAGAAACTTTAACGCAACCACCAGGTACCTGCGGAGGTCTCGAGCCCAACTCAAGCCAACGTGTTTTATATGAATCATTATGAACATATGAAGTTACAGTATATCTACACATAGACATCACTCCACCCTCTGCAGGACGTCCAAGCCACCACTGTCGGTGTGTGTGCTGTAATGGGGTGTCGTTCCACCACATCCCGAACTTCCTTTCTCCTGAAAAGGTACACCAGCATCGCAAGCTCACAGGGTTCTAGGCAATATACAAGTGTTATTGAGCATGGATGAGCCTGGTCCTCTTCCACTTGACATAGGGGGATCGATCGCCATAGCGCTCCTCAATCTTCACCAATCCCGAATAGCTGCGGGGCCTCTGCCTGCAGTCTGACTTGATTTCTGAGGTTCCTACCGTCGTGTAATTCTCAAAATCTTCATCCTCTTTGCCGTCCGGCTCATCAAGATCATCAGATGGGTCACCCAATGAAGGTCTTGTCTTGTTCTTCTTTGTCTTTCTTTCATAGGCTGCCTTCTTCTGAGCTTCATCCTCCTTCTTTGAGGGCTTCGGTCTTTCCTTCTTTCCTTCGGACCAGCTTCACCTGAGGACTTTTTGACCATGAACCTGATCCAGACATAGTGGAAAAGACATGCGGCTCATGGCCCATGGATTCCACTGCATCGTTGGTGGTGTGGCAACCTGACCACGGCATGTTCCCACATCCACGGGCATTTGGGACAGATTCCCTTGTCCTCCCCACAGCTCTCCCCTCTTGCGCGTCAGCTGCGCGCTGAGTCACGATCCACGAGGCACCATGGCTTCAAGGGCAAGTCAGTGGTGGGGGGGCCGCTCCCATACCAAGGCACAAAGAAATGAGTCAGTGTTGCGTGGGTGCTAGCTGTTTTCACTGCGAGTAAGCATCGGTGCTGCAAAGTCGGTCAGCAAGAGGGCTTCAGCAAAGAAAACAACCGTTGACATCACATTGTGATCCCGCCAAGCTTTATAGCATGTGAATGATATGTTTATAGAGACTTTGGCGGTGCCCTGAGTATATATTTGTGACTTGGTCACGGGTTTGGTCAGTGATGTTTCTGTTGCACTTGAAATGTGGGTGCTTGTGTTCATGTCCCGTTCAGGTTTGATGGTGTCTTCGTCAAGGCTACTATGGGTTTTCCTAGGCTTATTACATATAGGCTATATATATATATAGGTTTAAACATATTTAAACCCTGTTTCGACCAACTTGCAATCGTGTTTGATGTCCGTTGGTGTCCCTTGTGCTGCGATCTTTGCCTGGCTGGAGGACCGTCTGTATTTAAAATTCGGCTCTTGGGCCTTTCATGCCCGCTCGGTCGCTTTCTGGAGCCGTTCTGGACCTTTCTTCAGGCTGTGTAAGGTCTACGAACCGCAATCTACAGTTTCTCTTCCTTGCACACATATTTCACGAACATCGTTTGACCTGTCCTGGCATTTGCCCTCAGAAATCTTGCTGCAGCGTAGCATTGCCTGGATCTTGGCATGTTTTTGCAAAGTGTTTTTTTTCCAGACACAGTCAGCGCTGTTGATGCCTTAAGCGGATGCTATTAGGCAAGGGCATGCGTTTAACTGATTTTCTTGCAAGAAGCATACTGGAACAGCCTCGGCTCAACGTGTGCCCGGGCGCAAACCTCATTACTCGTATCGACTCGTTTCCGATGGGATTCGCAGATTTCCATAATTTCTTTGCTAGCCTTGGCCTCCTGGCCAGTTTGGCCTCAGCGTGTGGTCCTGAAGGTGCATGTCCAGCAACTTCAGTTTCTTTGCTGGTAGTGAACGCAGTGAAGTCGGAGTTGGCCACAATGGATGTGCCCATCAATCTCACCAACCTCACGGAGAATGCCAGCAATGAGACATATGAGAAGTTGGAAGAAGCCATCAGTGAGAATTTGGCAAATGATATCAAGGAGGCAGCCAGTATCCCGAATTTGGAAAATCACACCAATCAGACTGATCAGAGCAAGCATGGCTTTGGGCAGCTCGGCGCCAATTTGGAGTTTTTGATGCTCAAGGTAGCCCAGCTGGAAACCATTGTCGAGCTTCAGCAGATTGAAATTCACAAGTTGAATGAATGGAAGAGCAAACATATGTCGGATGAGCACAACAGCACCGAAGCAGCTTCCGAGATACAATCAAAGGCGAAGACTCAGAATGCAGTCGAGGTCTTGAAGAAGGTTCTTGACAAGCACAATCGCCAGCGGGAAAACCGAGACTTTGGAGCCAAAGCACGACATTCTGAGCACAAAATATCCAAGAGCAAAGAAAGTTCTTTGCTCCAACGGCAAAAGATTCAAGCATCAAGAGTCAATGACTCCAAGAAGTCCTTGGATTCAACAGTGGCTTCCAAGGTCATTGATGATGTTGTGGATGAAGTTGACGATGTTGGAGATGCTGTGACTGATGGTACTGGCTTAGTGGGTGATGCTTTAGGAGATGCCTATGAATCGGCAGCAGATCAAGTCTCGTTTGTGGCCAATACTGTCATTGACTCCGTGGAAATGGCAGTGGATATTTTGATTCGTGGCTTCACGGATTGGAATGCTGGATGTGATGAAAACCGATACCCTAGCATGGATGTGGATTCCAATGGTCTCAGGGTGGATTGGGGCCGACAAAAGTGTTGGGTCCGTTTGATGGGACAGACCTGTACGCTCTTCGATTTCAACTTTGGAAACACTGATTTGAGCTGGCCAGAACCCCTGAAAACAGTAGTGGGTTTTGGCATTGCACCCATCAAAGCAATGATTTCCATGGGCACTGAACTTGTGAACTGTGCTACCATTGGCTCACCTGTAGAGGTGATCAAATGTTTTGGTTTCAAGATCATTGAGCTGGTTCCTCCATTGAGTACCTTGAACAGATTGAGTGATATGCTCAGTGAGTTCATTGAGGTCTTTGCCAAAGTAGCTGCGACTGTGGTCCGTCAGGTCTTGGAAGACAAGCAATCCCTCGTCCAGCAAGCTGTAGAGTCCAAGTTCCCTGCAGCTGGTGCACCACCAGTGATTCATCACTCAAGCAAGAACCTGGTGATCAAGGCCCACTCACAAACTTCACGGTCCAAAAAACTCACGAAAAGTGCATTGCAACGCAACAAAATGTCAGGGTTGCAGACGGAAGGAGATGAGGATCCTTCTGGATCCATCAGCTTTGAGGTCCATGACCAAGAGGGGAACTATGCCACAAAGCTTATCACACAGTTCGATGGGAAAGAAATTGACACCAGTTCTTGTTTGGCTTTCGCACCAAAGAACAAGCACGGTAGCAACCAGCAGGCCACGAAAGCAGACTGGCAGGTGAATCATGAGGATGACTTCATCCAGCTGGAACCTTGGGCAGTGCCGTGTGACAATTCTTGGATGAAAGATCATTGGGACAAGTGGCAAGGTTATTCGTTCTACACCTGGGAGATGTCTGTTGAGAAATGTGTGACTGTCAGCTATTCTTTGGCCATGCAGCCTGCGCTAGCTTTTGTGGGAGGTCTGGAATTTGATCTGATGCCAGCACCTTTGGCAGCTTTAGACACTGTAGTCTGTTGGCCAGACAAGCAGCCAGGCGGTTTGGATCTCAGTGTTCTACGGACAGAGATCAAATCTGGGGGCGTTCTCCTCTTTAGCCGAACCCTTCGCCTGACCAAGCGCTTTGGCCACACAACTTTTGAGGCGCAGAATACTTTCCAGGCGCATGAAACCTGGCGCAATCCCATTGGTGTTGCCACTGGGTCTCATGCTGTTGAGGATGACCGCACTTTGGAACCCATGTCCAGAACGTCTTCATTGGTAGAAGTGTCGCAGTCTTCGAATGAAGCCAGGAAGCGGGCCAAGAAGAGTGCTGACAGTGGTGATCTTTACTGGGAGGAAGAAGTTGAGGAGCTTTACCTTGCATCAATCAATTATGGAAAGGAGTTGAATATCACCAAGACCAAGGAGCTTCATGGAACAAATGCATCAGAGCGCATGAAAATGAGTCTTCTGACATCGGCCAAGGCAGATTATTTCCAGCTATTTAGTTTCAAAAATCCTGGAATGGTGAATTTTAACATCCAAGGGCTTTTGGAGGACAATAACTTGGAGCTAGCGATGAAGATTAATTTTGGTCCATTTGCATCTCCGGAGAAAAGAATACGCTTAATCAACATCGTGGACCAGTTCTCTATCGTTCTTTCTGCTATGCCCTTCGTTTCAGTGGACACGAAACTCAAGGCCCTTGCTGCGTTGCGTGACTTCACTGCACACGATGTGAAGAAGGTCGTCGATGAGGTGCCCAGTTGCAATTTGTGTCGCTGTGGCAGGCTTAGGCGTTTGGAAGGGTCAGAACACATGACATCAAACCATGAGAAGCATCCAACATCTTTTGTATACAGTTGTTGTTATTTCAGTATGAACTGAGAGGAAAGGAGGCTGTGCTGCCGCAGATCTCTCTCAAAAGAATTTCCCGTCAATTCAAAGCTTGAAGGAACACTTGGGCGTGGGGGAAAAAACAAGTGGGCTGGAAGAATCAAAACAATGTTTCCAGAGTTATTTAACCAGGCTAGCGCCTGGCAGCCGCCGACCCCGAAAGAAGTGGATGGCCTAGGTTTAATGGGTTAAGAGTTTTTTTTCGAAAAATCGGGGAACCCAAAAAACAACACGGAACCCCTAGAGACATGATCTGTCACTGCATCACCAAAGTAGGCAGAAGAGAGCACGGCAAATGTTGAAACCAAGGCCCCTGACAGCAAACATGGAGTACACACACAAACCTTAAGCCCCAGTGTGGCCCTTGAAAACTCATGCACAAAGTGCAGGACAGGAAATCGAAAAGCATAGAGACAGTGGGCCAGTGGCCTAATGGTTAAGGCGTTGGGCCTCTCCTGAGGCAT